AGCCACAATGCAATGCTTCATTAACCTAGGAAGGTATACCCGTTAATCATCAGTAGCTTCTCCTGCAGTACCAAGGTAGTTTAGAGGTTCTCTCATTCATGTAGCAACACAATCTAATGCTGGTAAGAGGACCTGCTGCACAAAATCAATTGAAGGTTGCTTATTTTCAAAGGGCAAAGATCAGTATCTAGTCTGTATGAAATCCTTATAGAATACTAGCTTTGAATTACCTAGATGTTTGACTTAAGAGAAAGAACTCCATCTATAACTTCTTCAGAGCAGTATTTCTGAGATTTTGTAGGTCATGTACCCCATTTTAAGTTTGAGACTTTTGTACTGCTAGGATCCAATGTTATGGATAATAAAAGTAACCCTTTATAAATCACTGCAACCACTCAATGTCTCCAGCAACCATGAGTGACTATAGAACTGTTTTTCTTAATTTTGGTGTTTCTTCTCTTTTCTCTGTTTATATTTGTTTTTTCCCCCTTCTGCTCTCCCAATCTTTCCTCTCTTGTACCTTCCAAAAGATGGCTGCATACCCTCAGAGATGCGTGTTCCTGTTTTAGAAATTAGCTATTTGTTGCACTTCCGCTACACTGGCCATGGAACCCCCCTCTCTCCTTTAAGTCTCCATCAAAGGCTTTCCAAAGTAATGTGGTCACAAACAATAGGAACCATGATGCTTGCTTTTTCTTACTGAGATCTTCAGTTCCAACTTCAACCCTGTGGAATGGCTCAAATACTATACTTACTTGAAATCAAGACAAGTTCCTCCTCCCCCGCTCCCCCCCCAGCACAGGGAAAAGAGCTTTTTGTCTTGGATTTGAGTGCAAGGTAAGGTGGCAGGTGGCTGCCACCCATGACACCACCTGCTCTCTACTCCCTCTGCCCCCCCCGCACTGCCTTTGCCCCTACCACCAGCCACCCACCATCAGCACTTATCCTGTTGCAGGTCTGGCTCCAACACCAGCTCCAAGCATGCAACACATAGTGGTTTTGCTCCCTACCCCTGCCAGGTAGCAGCAGTTGCAGTGGCAGCAACTCTGTCCCCAGGCACAGGACAAGGTCAAAGCCCAGGCCAGGGCTGAAGCTACTACTGCCACTGCTGCTTGGCTGGGTCCAGGCTACAGCCACCACGTTGCTCTATGCCCTGGGCTACAGCTAGAGTCACAACAGATGGTAAGCACAGGCCCAAAGGTGGGTGGGAAGGGAGGGAAGGGGAGACGAAGCAGGGCTATCTGGCCTCATTGCAGTAGTGAGGAGGGCAAAGTTTAAGATGATCCTCCAATAATTAGATTCTAAACATGGAAAAATTTACCATTTATAGAATCTAATTATTGAAGGATTGTCTTAAATTCCAATTCAAAGTAGATTTGGATTCAGGTAAATATGGCACTCAGCAAAAGGATACAAGATATAACAATAAAAAGTCCTTCTCCCACCAGCTGTGATTAGGGTTCTCTCACCTTATGTTCCACAGGCATGTCATATCCTGCATTACCTTAGAGACAGGGGTCAATGTGTGAAAGGGGCTGCAGCTAAGACTGAGAAAAGGCAGCAGGGCAAACAGATTGTAAAAGCCAATTACAGCTCCTGCTGCTGGGTCATGATCTCATTGTGACCCAGAGGCTGGTACAACAAGATGTCCACCTAATTTCTTTTCCTTTCGTGTTACCTGGTTTCACCATCTTCAACGAGAAATGTCAAAATACTGCTGTACATAAGCAGTATATAGAACAGGAATAAGAAAAAGTAATCAGGAATTGCTAAAAAGTGTAAAGACCTATGATTCAAATACAGGAAAGTAACAGTTAGCTGTGATGGAGTTGAAAGGAGAAACAAAAATTTAGCAACATACGCTGTAAGAGTTAAGATTAAAACAACAGCTGCCACTGTTGAACGATAACGTCTTAAGAACAGATGTAATGCATATTCATGAAGGTATTTACATAATTATGGACCTGAATCAAAACCCCCTAGTTTGAAATCCAGATCTAAATTTTACAATTTATACCTATCATTACACATTTGGGAATTATTTATGCAAGAGAATCTGAACTGTAGTAAGAAGGTTAAGACTTTTCAGTCATATTTTAAATCATACATACTTTGCTGGAAACTTTTGGTTCAAAAGGAAGTGGAGGCAACTTCTGTGCACTAAACTTCCATGACAAAGTTTAGAACTGTTACCATTTCCCTTAACTAGTAAACACATGGAGAAAGTCTTAACAGCTACTTACTCCAGGAAAAATGGTTTATAAATAAAATACTAAATTAGTAGTTAGGACAGATAAAGTGTTTTAGAGTAATGCATATTAGCTCTTAGCCCTTTCTTGCAGATAGAAAGCTAAAGAATTCCCTTTTGCTCCAATCCCTTTTCCACCACAAATAAGTAGCAGACAGAGTTAGGTCTTTAACCTAGGTCTCCTGACCATGCCAAGATGAGATGGTTACTTCTGAACTCGCTTTATCAAGCCATGCAGAAACACAAGTAAACAACTTATTTTAAAAGCTGCTACTCACTGTACACAGTTAAACTTGTCACTAAGAGAAAAAAGGAGTTGAGCTGATCAAGATTAAATTTTCCAAAGTGTTTAACCCCTACCAACTTCCAACAACTTATGAGGCTCATAACCACCTTGTAAATTGTATTCCAAAAAGAGACCTTTTTGACTCAATACAAGCAACCTGAAACAAGAGAAACTCTCTTATTAAAAAAGGATAAATATGCTTATAACCACATTAAAAGGACTAGAAACCTCTACTTATGCTGCAGCTGACACACGGTTAAGTCCACACGTTAGGAGCATTAGTGGAAGTAAGTAGTCCAGTGGATTTCTAATGCTGTCAATATTTAGATCAGGCTCATCAGCTTTCACTCAGGCTAGGTCTATACTGCTCCCTTTTACTGGCCCAAGTGGCTTCACTGAATGAGTATTCATTCAAAGAAAGATTTGCAGGTTTGGGTAAACAACTATGAAGTTTAAATTACCCTTATTTATTAATATGGAGGACAGAGACTACATACCTACCATTGCAAGAGCACTGGGATCTACAGGGGGAAAAACAAACCAAAAACAGAAACTCAACAACCAAATTTATCTTACACATGTGAAAGAGCAGGCTACCACTACTTGCATTTTACCTGTGCATAGAGGCTCAAAACAACAGCAAAACCAACAACCCTTCTCCCCTTACCCCCTGCCACCTACAGTAATCTAGGTAACATTAAATTAGGAGGCAGGATAGATCTGCACTGTTTAGAGTGACCGAAGTACATAGATAGGGAGGTTGATCAATTAATCTTTTGTGAATTGAAGCTCACTTCAAATTACTAGCTTTACTATATACAGAGCTGCATCCTTACATTCTGAAGGATTAGGAATAGGATGTTCAGTTCTTGTTTACTCCCCAAAACTTTTATACAGGAGGTTAAGATACAAAAATAATAAAGAACATCCTCCTCTCCCCCCTCCCCAAGAAGTTCCAAAACATGGTACAACCGGCTACAGCAAACATAACAAAAAAATCAGCCACTGGGTTTTGTAAAAAATGTGTCAAGTGGTTTCTTAGTCTTTACAATTTAAGCATCTCAAAATAGATGCTAATATAATCCATATAAATGTACTGTTTTATCTGGTCACTTATATTTAAATAGGTGCATCTTTTACTTAATAAAAGGTAGTAAAGCAACACACATGGAGGATTACTTTTTTTTAAAAACCTAACAAGGTAAGATACACGTGGTGACTTTAAAAATAGAATGTGAAAACATGGTAAAATTTTATTTCAACCCTTTCATATGAATGAGGACTGACCTAGAAGAATTACACCATAGAGACTCCATCAGAAGAAAAAAAAAAAGTTTTGTAAATGGCTTGCATATGTTTTCCCTTGGGGATGCAACATTAAAGTATATAATACCTAATAGAAGTACACTGTGCTGGTTGGCCCATAGTATGCCAATCATTTCTAAAGCAGAACTCCTCACTAAAAATCAAGGGAGAATTTTGCTAAACACAGATGATATCGTGTCATTATGACAGAAGAAAAGCACAGCACACAAAAATATTTGTGCTGTCACTGTTGATTACAGAAGGAGCTAGGTTGCAAAATTCAGCATTCACAATGAAGGAAAAAAGTACTATGCACACAAGTAAGTTTACAAGACAAGACTACAGAACCTGAGGTTTTCTTGTAGAAAGCTGAATAGAACAACTTCCCCTAGGAGTTGAACAATCCAGTCAACTGTTTCTCTCAATATTATAGATTGAGTCTATCCTGAAACAGTTTAAGAATATATTGTATTTCAATACCCAATTTTCAGCCCCCAAATTAAAAACATGCTGCTACCCTATATTTAAGATTTGATCCATGTTTTTCATAGTGAGCCAAACATGTAATTATGTACACTTTGAAAGCGAGTCACTACATTTTAAATGTAAAACAGATTTAATTTACTTTTAAGGTTTAAACCTATGTTCAAGTATATTGTATATAACTTGATGTTGTAATTAAGTTTTAAAAATGTGTAGTATTCATACTGATATTGAACTTCAGTGCTTTAGTTTTAAATTACTGTATTTGTTGTTTAAATCCTTCTTCAGTAACCTGCTTCAGGCAGATTACATTAGAAAGATTTGAAAAGTACAGTAATTTAATAACCTAAATTACTTGGCTGCAAAAAGTGTAAGTTAATGTACCTAAGTATGTTTAAAGAATACAATTTAAGAAATATTTTTCTTTTAATTTCCACTTCGAATATTGTGAGCTTTTTTTGACCAGTTACCACCTCCCATCTGCATGATTCACTGTTTCTATTGCTCACCGTCAACCTAAGCAATGTAGCGCATCATAATTTTAGAACAGAGAATTGCTTCCCCAACCTTTGGCTTTAATGCTGAAGTTTCATTGCTTCTGCTAAACAATAACATAAAATCCCAGACTTAAGGGGTAAGAGAGACAAATCATTTAAATAAGAGTGTCATACTGGGAAATGAAATTTTGCAACTGTGTTATTTTATTTCTGCATTGGACACATGACCCAAAGTCTGCCAAGATACTAGGGAGTATTAGTTTAAAGCTAAGAATTTAAGAAAACACTTAACTTTTAACAATGCTTTTGCATAGCATGTTTGTAAGACTGTGAACATTGCATACTTTCTTTGGCATTTACTGAAAGCTGTTTTTAAATTAATCACTGTGTTAGCTCTGCAGGTAAAGTGCCCCTTCCCCCCCAACATTTAA